TTCTCTTGTTGTTCTTTTGTTAGTTTTCTTTCTTCTTTGCTTTTTCTTTATTTTTACCTCCCTTGTCATCTGTTTCTCCCCCTTTCTTGTGGACTCTTTTGCTTCCCCAGTTTCAGAGTGTCTTTTACATGCATTGTAGTTTTAAGAAAACCTTTTTCTCTAATTCAGTTTGTTAATCATTAATTCTAGTTTATTAGTTCGATTTTGAAATTATTTGAATTGTTCTGCTTTGTTTCTCCCCAGTTAGTCTATTTGTTCTTGGGCTGGGGGGGGGTCATACTATTAGGCTTAGGCTGATGATTTGGGCTGGCCTTCTAAATGGGTCAGTCCAGGGTCGACTTGACCCATAACCCGTCTGAGGTTCAGGGGTAAAAATAGGCTGATTAAGGGGTAAATTGGGTAGATTACTCAAGGAATCTTTCGCTAACAACCTGAGGAAGCTTCCTAGAAGCTGGGGTGGGGGCTGTTATGTTAATTTGGTAATTTTATTAAGGGTAGTTGAGCAAAGAAGAGAATGAAATAGGTGTATCTAGGCAAAAAGGAAAATTGGAAAAGGGCCCATATGCAAAACTAAAAACTTCAGGCTGCCCTACTTGCCTTGCCTATAAAGGCACCCTAAACTTGCCTTGTAAGGCAGACCAAAGAGAGCTAAGACACCCAACGAGAAGGAAAAATTCTGCAAATAACAAAACAGCTGAAAATCTTTGACAAAATACTGTTCCATTGAGTTTTAGCTTTGCAATTTGAAATCTTCATTTCCTGAATCAATTTTCTGATTGTTTTGGGTTCTAAAATGGTTTGAGGTCGAGTCACTTAAGCTTGGTCTGTTGTTTGGCTGGGGTGTTGCTTGCTTGAAATTGATTCCTGGACTATTTGATCTCACTTTCTGGGCTTGAAATTGGTTTTAAACTGCTATTGATTGCTGCTCTGTAGGTGCTGATTCCTCACCCTTTTTTCCTTTTGTTTCTTCTACATCCAGGTACATATCTCCTGAAACCTGTAATCTGATGCTCAAGTTGAAAGTGAAAAAAAATAATGGAAGTTTGGAGTTTCGATGTTCAGTTGTGTATGTTATTCATATGTTAAGCTTGTTATTTGAATCCTTCTTTATGTGAAGCTTAGCTTGTTATGCTAAACATTAAGGTAGCTTAAGTTCTATGCATCTAATATGCACAATATGCGGATCCTGTTGAGTAGAGCTAGTAGTAGCTTATCTAGTTTGAATGGCTTTTCGATTACTGAGTTGTGTAGATTTCACTGTTTTTTTTTGTAGATGCAGGTTTGGTATTGCCCTGTAGTAGTTTTCCTTGGGATATGATGTAATTATTGAACTCTTGTCACTCCTGAAGCATGGAAACTAAGAAAGATTAATTGTAGGATAGTATGGATTTTTAGTGTTTAAAAGGTTTATTATCATGTTTGAAATGTTAGTTTAAGCTTTATGTTTTGAGTAGCATGTGAGTGTGTTTAAGCCTGACAGGTGATTTGAATTTGTTGCTACTCTACTATTAATTGGTACTTCAGCAGCTAGTCTTTAGTTAATTTGATTCTTTGGTAGTTTGAAGACAATTTTCTAGATTCGTTGAGTTCAATTCCATCGCAGTGCTTAAAATTAGTTTGAGGCTTAAAGATTTGAGGCTGGATATAGTTTAATTGTCAATAATGAAGCCCTGTTTTGTGTTTAAAAACCAGTGATGAGTTTTGTTTGTGAAATGTTGCTTCCTTCAGGGACTCGATCTTGAGTCCCCACTTTTCAACTTCAATGCTTTCAATTTGGGCCTGCTATTGAGGTTTGGCCCAAACCTTTTGTTTAAAATTGTTGGTTCTTTAGCCACAGTCTATTATTGGGCTCATCGTGATTTTGTGCTCTTATTGAGCCCAGGTTTGAAATGGAAATTGGATTCACATCAATGCTGAAATTAATTCTGATATTTGCATCCCATTCTGAATTGGGCTTTCTTCTGAGATTTGGTATAGATCTTTTGGCCAAAATTGATAGTCCACCAACAATTGAAAAATACAGTAGGCCGTTAGATTTATGTTTTAAAAGGAAAAAGGGTGTTTGTTTAATTACTGCGTCTTCTTAGTTCGAACTTTGATAATACGTCTTGTGAATTCTTAGGATTTCCTTCCTTCAACCAAGCTTCTTTAAATAATCGAGGTGTGTCGTGCCGAACAAAAATCACAATTGCACGGCCCTCGATTTAATTAATCTTGTTTATCCTTAGAAATCGAAGTGTGCCATTTAGCGAATTTCCATGGCCCTCGCAAAGTTGCAAACGCGTAGCTGTTTTAGGGGCATATTTTAATAATTTATTTTGCTAAATTCGGGTGCACATTTATGTGACCCAAATCCAAATCTCAACGTTAGATAAAATGTGTTATGGATTGCGGGTACATTTATGTGATATGGTCCGATATATATTTTAAATGATGTTCCAATCTTCTTTTAAATAATTAAATAAAAGTGGTTAAGAAGTTAAAATTGCACAATAGATCTAAAATGTTTAAAATCAGATAACTAGGCCAATTATGACAGTTGAGCGACCGTGCTAGAACCACGGAACTCGGGAATGCCTAACACCTTCTCCCAGGTTAGCAAAATTCCTTACCCGGATTTCTGGTTCGCGGACTGTAATACAGAGTCAACCTTTTCCTCGATTCGGGATTTGAAACTGGTGACTTGGGACACCATAAATCTCCCAAGTGGCGACTCTGAATCCTTTAAATAAATAATCCCGTTTCGATTGTCCTTTAATTGAAAAAACTCCCTAGCCCTTTATGCCCTCCTAGGGGTGTAGGAAAAAGGAGGTGTGACAGCTCTGGCGACTCTGTTGGGGAAAAGAACCCAGAACTTTGGTTCAGGGTTCGAGATTCGAGCTTGGAATAATTGTTGTATTTGGCTTTGTTTATTATTTGATTTCATTACATGTTTAGGGACTAATGTGCAAAATGTTGCTTTTACCGCTTTGATATTATCTGAACTGTATATATAAACTGCTACGAAACCCTTCTCTTCTCTCTCCCGAGGAGTGCACGCTGGTAGTGACTTCTTTCTGTTAGTGTCATATCCCAAATAGAACGAGGTTCGGACAAGTTGCAAAATCGGAGGTTCTTTTGGTTACCGGTACGCAGCCCCCCCTCGGCTCGAGTTGTCCGCTCGGGTAAACCAAGTCTAGAACAAATAAATGCAGGTTTTAAACCTAGAATAACTCAGCCTCATGCCGGATCCCTAGTAGGAATGCTTATCTGCATCATGTGCATTTGACTTAGGGGACTCAACACAGGGGTTGGGTCCGTCTAGGACATGTGTACCCAAAATAACAGACCATCCTGATGCATCCTACTTGTGCATTTATTTGATTTGGATTTGCATGCTGACCGGCTGTTTGAGTAAAAGGGGAGAATTTGAAAAAAAAAATAGCAGTGTGAGGGCTAAGAGGGGTAATTACCTGTTTTGAAAACCAATGTCCCAAAATATACCAAAAAGAAAAACAAAAAAAAGAATTTTTATTGTTTTCAAGAAAAGAAAAAAAAACAAGAAAATGGATGAAAAAGGTTTTGTTTTCAAAAATAGTTGGTTTTGTTTTATTTGCCCGAACTACGCCGGTTTGATTCTCACAGGGAGTGGGATACGTAGGCAACCCTCATCGGATCCAACTTCCCTTTTGCAAAACTAGCCCAAAAAGAACAAAATTTTATGGTAAATAAGTAAGGTGATGCCATTCTTGTCAAAAATAGCCGAATGTCCCTAAAAGGGTGCCGGAAGGCTGTTTTTGCAAGAACAGCCACATTTGGTCATTTTTAAATTTTTTGGCCAGTTAGCGCATAGCCTTAAAATCTTCTTCCTCGAGGTGCTGAAAGGCCGTATTGGCAAAGCCGGATATTTTTATGAAAATTTTGAAAAAATAGTGATAACCTTTTGAGTCAAAATGAGTCTTGATTTTCCTCCTGTTAGTTTCCTTTTTGAGCCTGTTGGTTTTATGGTAAAAATTCGGTAGGATGAGTCGTTGTAATCAAAAATATTTTATTTTTATTTAAAAATCCCAAAATATTTTATTATTTATTTTTATCCCCCAGAACTACGGGGTCATGATATATAGGCAATCTCCATAGGATTCGACCATCACCAAAAGAAAGAAAAAGAGTGATAAAAAAAAAGAGGAAAAGAAAAAGAGAGGAAAAACAAGAGAGAAAAGAAAAAGAAAAGAAAAAGAGAGAAAATAAGAAATCGTGAGAAGGAAGCAATGGCAAAACAAGAGGGAGAAATGAGAGAATAAAAACAAAGAGAAAGAAAAGGCAAGAAAAAGAAAAAGAAGTTGCAAATGGAAATAAGGAAAGCCGGGATGACACAAGCAACCGAGCAAATGCATAATAGAAACGGTTAACTGCTTAGGTGCATTCATTCCCCAAAAGGTGCGGTTACCAATTTGTTAAAGCCCTAATCACTAACAAGGTTGTTGATGTATTGAGTCCAGGCAGGTGGTTAGTTGATTGGAATTCTGGCAACTCACTCCTACAACACCCGGTCAAAAGACAAGCTGAACATGGCCAACCAAGAACCGGAGGCAAGTATTGTCAATCCGTCAAAAGAGGTGGAAGAATTGGATGTTAATCCTATGAAAGAAGAGATGCATAAGTTAAAACAACAAATGGTTGAAATGTACCAGGCCTGGGCAAAGGGGCATCCACCATCGGTTTATCCCGCGAACCCTGCTTATATCCCACCATTGGCCCAGCCTCAGGAGCCTCCCACTGTGAACTCGTCTCCAGCTTTTCCCCTCTACCGGCAATGTTACCGCACCACTTCCCATACTTCCCAAGCTCCACCACCCAAACAAGTCCCATACCCTCCTCCCCCAGTCACTCTTGTCTTTGTGGCACCTCCATCTGTCGCATTACAACGATCTTCCAGTGAGCCTCTGTTCCAGACTCACGAAAACCACTATTATCCCCCAGAACCTACCTTCAAAGCGCCAGAACCATGTTCTTACACTCCTCATTTTGATCTCTCGGCAGAAACTGAGAAGCCACCTAAGAATCCCGAGCAGCAGGAGATGATTAGGAAAGTGAAAAGCTTGGAACAATCTTTCAGGAATATGCAGGGGCTAGGTGGTCAAGTAAGTGTGGTATATAAAGACCTATGTCTGTTCCCAGATGTTCAATTACCAACAGGGTTTAAGATGCCCAAGTTTGATTTGTACGACGGGCATGGTGATCCAGTGGCACACTTGAGAGGTTTTTGTAGCAAGATGAGAGGAGCAGGCAGGAGAGATGAATTACTGATGGCATATTTCAGTCAAAGTTTATGTGGCTCAGCTTTGGAATGGTACACCCGACAAGATCATGGTCGGTGGTACACATGGGACGATCTAGCCCAAGCATTTGCCTGCCATTTTCAGTATAATCTTGAAATTGTTCCAGACCGTCTGTCATTGACGAAAATTGAGAAAAAGTCCGGGGAGAGTTTCAGAGAATATGGCTTCCGTTGGAGAGAGTAAGCAGCGAGGGTTGACCCTCCGATGAAAGAGAGTGAAATGGTTGATTATTTCTTGAAGGCCTTAGAGCCCACTTATTTCGGTCACTTGGTATCAGCAGAAGGGAAATCCTTCAATGAAGTGGTAAAAATGGGAAGCATGGTAGAGGAAGGACTCAAATCTAACAAAATCATGAGTCATTCAGCAATCAAGGTGACTACCCAGGCCATTCAAAACGACACTGAGTATATTGGGAAAGAATAAGAAAGAGGACGTTGCAACAATTGAGTCAAGAGCTTGGTCCAGGGGTCCATCACCTTACTATAACCAGCCTCGACCCCACCACCAAACTTACCCCCACACTCCATATAGCCTACCACAACACTACTACCCACCACCAAATCCCCATTTTTATGTCCATCACGCTCAAACAAACACTCAACCTCCTACCCATGCACAATGGCATGCTCCAACTCCACAGAATACCTACCCAGCTCCACAAAATACCTATCCACCCCCAAGAGCTTACAGAAACTCCCCTGGAACAGGTTTCCGACCAAATCAAGCCTTCAAGAATGAGAGGCCGCAAAAGAAGAAGACTTTCACTCCATTGGGAGAATCATATACTAGTCTATTCCACAGGTTGAGACAGTTGGGTATGTTGAATCCGATTGAGCCTAAACTGCCTAATCCTCCCCCGAGAAATCTTGACCACTCGGTGAATTGTGAGTATTGTTCAGGCGCTCCAGGGCATGACACAGAGAAATGCTGGCACTTGAAAACAGCTATTCAAGAGCTCATTGATACTCATCGGATTGAGGTTCAAACCCTAGAGGCGCCCAATATCAACCAGAATCTGTTGTCGGCCCATCATGAGACCAATATGATTGAGATAGTGCATAAAGGAGGAGAGCTTAAGAAGCCCTCGCAGACTGTAATGATGATCCGGTCCAGTGAAGTCAGGCCGAGTGAAAAGTCAACAAGTGGAAAGTCGTTGATCAAGTTGAAAGGGATAGACAGTAAACCAGTTGTGGTAATTGATAAGGAGTCCTCAAACGGGGTTGCAGTGAAACAGGAAAAGGCAAAAGTGGTGGTACCTGGGGTAGCAAACAAGCCTGTTATAGTTGTGGAAGGTGCTTGCACAGATCCGGTCATTATCAAACCAGTAACTCAAATACCAATAGTCAACAGCAAGGCCGTCCCTTGGAATTATGGCCGAATGACAGTGACTTACAAAGGGAAAGAGGTCAAAGAAGAAGTCTACGAGACCCATGGATTGACTCGCTTGGGGAGATGCTTTGCCCCCGAGGAGTTACGAAAAGCCAAAACCGCTAAAGATAACCCAGTGTTAGTGAAGAAAGTTGTGACTGAAGAGGAAGCAGAAAAATTCTTGAGGAAGATGAAAGTGCAGGACTATTCTATTGTAGAGCAGTTGAGGAAGACCCCTGCTCAGATCTCATTGCTCTCATTGTTAATCCATTCGGACGAGCACCACCAGACGTTGATGAAAATTTTGAACGAGGCCCATGTACCTGACAAGATCTCTGTTAACCATTTGGAAAAGATAGCAAACAAGATTTTTGAGGTAAACAGAGTCACTTTTTCTGATGATGAATTGCCCATGGAGGGTACGCAGCATAACAGAGCCCTTTATCTTACGGTGAAGTGCGAGGATTCCATGGTTACCCGGGTACTGATTGATAATGGGTCCAGCGCAAACATTTGCCTCTCTCCTCCTGGACAAATTGAAAGTGGACAATGAAAGAATTCACAAGAACAGTATTTGCGTTCGGGGGTTCGACGGTGGAGGGAAAGATTAAGTCGGGGACATAGTGCTGGAGCTGACAATAGGGCCAGTTGAATTTACTATGGAATTTCAGGTGCTGGATGTGGCGGTTTCTTACAATCTTTTGCTAGGCCGACCCTGGATTCATGCCGCCAAGGCAGTGCCGTCTACCCTTTACCAGATGGTCAAATTTGAATGGGACAGACAGGAAATTGTGGTGCACGGAGAGGATAGTTTGTGTGCCCAGAATGATGCCATTATACCTTTCATCGAAGTTGAAGACGACAAGGGGCCGTAGGTCTATCAGATTTTTGACACAATGTCAGTCGAGAAAATTCCAGAAGGGGAGTGTGTTCCAGTTCCGAAAGTAGCAGCCGCATCAGTCATGGTAGCCTCCGTAATGTTGAAGAATGTTTTTGTACCTGGCAAGGGTTCGGGTGTGTCTCTCCAAGGTAGCGTATGACCGGTGTCTCTTCCCAAAAACTTGGATACCTTTGGTTTGGGGTTCAAGCCTACAGCTGCAGACATAAGGCGAGCCAGAAAGTTGAAACAGAGGGCATGGGTTCTTCCAAAGCCCGTCCCACGTCTCTCCCGATCCTTTGTCAGGCCTGGTACCAAGAAACGCCCAGTAACAACAGTTCCCGGTTCTGTGGTTAGTCCTGATAAGGAGTTGCTTGAAAGGTTTGAAAAGTTGTTCGACGAGGTGAATATGGTTGAAGCTGGAAAGGGATCGAGCAAGGCGGATGTGCAATTTGTGTGGCCCAGTGCAAAGATCAACAATTGGGAAGCTACTCCTCTTCCTACTCGGAGGGAGTTTTGGTAGTCGGCTTTGATTTTTCTTTCAGTTTATCTGGATTATTCCAGGGTTGTAATTCATATTCTATGTTCCGTCCGTTTGGATGTGTTAAACCTTGTTATCTTTAAATTTCAATGAATTACAATTTCCCTTCTTCTTCACTCCTGATAGTTTTGTTTTTGTTTTTATTTTCTTTCTTGTACAGTTCTTTTTATGCTGGTTTCAATGACATGACGTGCATGAGGAATCTTCGGCCCAGTTTTAAAAGCCAAGCTAATTCTGAAAAGTTGAAATCCCATCCCTTCGGATTGTCGCTGAAGCCAAAATTGATGATAATGAGTGGGTTAGAAAACCGCCTGAGCAATTGAGTTTGTTCAATGAGAAAAGATTGGCATCAGTGTGTCATGGCCAATTGTATCAACAGAGAATGGCAAGAGAATATAATAAGAAGGTGCGTCCACGGAAGTTTGAAGTGGGTCAGCAAGTGTTGAGACATATCCTTCCACATCAGGTTGAAGCTAAAGGCAAGTTTGCCCAAACTGACAGGGGCCGTTCGTGGTAATGAGAGCGAGAGTGTTGTCCAATGGTGCTTTGTATTTAACAGATATAGAAGGCAAGTGTGTAGAAATGGCCATCAATTCCGATGCGGTCAAGAGATATTATGTATGATCTTCTTTGGTTTAATTATTTGTTTGTACTTGGCATGTTTTGAAGACTCGAATGACGAAGGCATTTTGTTCTGCTATCTAAATACTTTATCCTTCGTTACCCCCTTTGAGCCTTGTTTATTTCCTTTCATACCCCTCGTTTAGAATCAGTAGAAAAGATCAGAAACACAAGCGTAAAAGATAAGTAAAGGAAAAAGAGAGAAAACAAAAGACTGAAAAGAGAAAAGAAAAAAAAGAAGAAAAGGAAAAGAGAAAAAGAAAAAAAGAGAAAAAAAAAGAGAAAAAGAAAAAAAACCAACAAAACAACAAAAGAAAAGGAAAGAAAAAGAGAGAGAGAAAAGAAAGAGATAAGAGAAAATCACAACAACAAAGTAATTTCTATGACATGAACTACGTTCGACCTGATTCCTTTTAAGGATACGTAGGCAGCCTCACGGTTCGGTCCCATCAAAACAAAATCCAAAAGTTCCCAAGCAAAGAAACTGGGGCAGAAGTTGTGGTTGTGCAAGTGATTTGATTCCGAAAGTTGTAATTTTGAAGCCATTTGAATTGTTTTGAGCCTTTGATATCCTTTCTTTCTAACCCTATCCAAAAGCCCACATTACGGTCTAAAGAAAGGCCTTCTGATCAGTCTTCGAGAGATGCCAAGTCGAGCAAGTAGAGGTGATTCATTTCAGGGGCAACACTCTGGTCCAAGCAGGAAAATAATGAAAACGAGAGAGTCTTATTGGTGAAAATCCTCATGGGCACCGTAAGGCGACGGGAGCTCAGAGAAATGAAAAATGAGAGAGTCTTATTGGTGAAAACCCTCACGGGCACCGTAAGGTGACGGGAGCTGAGAGAAATGAAAAATGAGAGAGTCTTATTGGTGAAAACCCTCACGGGCACCGTAAGGCGACGGGAGCTGAGAGAAATGAAAAATGAGAGAGTCTTATTGGTGAAAACCCTCACGGGCACCTTAAGGCAAAAGTGAGTTGAGAGATGAAAAAATGAGAGAGGTCTGTTGGTGAAAACCTTTCAGGGCACCGCAGGATGAACAAGGTCAAGGTTTGGGTAAAGGAATCAGGTTATGGAATCCTGGGGCAACAAAGTATGGCAACTGAAAGTTGGTTGGTTGGACAGACTGGGCCGGTTAATCTGAAATGCATGTCATGATCAATGGTACCAGCTATTTCACTCAAATAAGTCTCTTTTCCTTTTTTTTCCTTTTAGCAAGTCGTCCTCTTTTGGATTTTCTTTATCCTTAACTCTCAAGGTCATTGCATTTCATTTCTTTTGGGGTTTTGTTTCTCTAAGAAGTTCCAATGTCCGTTTTGTTCAAAGCAAATAAGAAAGGATTTCAAAGCTCACTACCAATTTCCAAAATGTCAAAGCACGGTGTAGCCAGAACATACCAAAGATAGCATGATGTAAAGTAGGATATAAGGAGTCACCGGAAGTTTCATCGGTGGAATGACTTGGTAATTTCATGGGAGATGCAAAGGTTCAGAGAAAGGGGTCAGAGAGGTAAAACAACGGTTTGGGTATAGAAACTCGGGTCATCCAAGGTCATGGGGTTTGAAAGTCAGTCAGAAAGTTAAGCAGTTCAGGGTCAGTCCGGGGAAGCAGGTCAAAACAAAACACGACAGTGGAGAGACCTTCAGCAAGAATGCCATCAACTAACCACCACAGTTTAAACGGACAAGATTTTTCTTTGATTGAAACAGGGGCAGAAAGTTTCGGTGTTTCGGAGAAATCCTCCGCAAGGAAAGGCAAGCACCAAACAAGTTTGACCGTAAAACTCCCAGGACCTACCTGGATAATAGGATTTAATTTGTAGTTTTCAGGACTCTCCTGAAAAATGGGACCTAGTTTAAATTTGAAACATTCATGAGTAGCATAATTTAGCATAAATATACCCCAAAGGAATATAAGTTGGCTTCAAAGTTTGCATGTTTAAGATAGGATTCAATTAGGAGTTGTCCAGGACCCCCCCCCCCCCCCTAAATAATGGGACCTAGCTTTAAGATTGTTGTTAGATAACAAGATGTAGCGAAAATAATACCTTTAGGAGATATAACTTAGATTTAAAATTGTTGTTTAATTAGGAATTGTCAGGACCCTCCTGGATGATAGGATGTAGTTTTAAGACCCTCTTAGATAACAGGATTTAGCGGAACTAATACCTTTAGAAGATATAACTTGTATTTATAATTGTCATTTAATTAAGAGTTGTCAGGACCCCCCTGGATAATAGGACCTAGCTTTCAAATTCTTAGTAATAGTTGGTAGAATAATTCAGTTTAACACTCACCTATGTGCCCAGCTACCAAACTGGGGCAGAAAATTTTCTTTGTTTTGTCTTTTTTGTTGAAATCAGGTACCCACTTAGAGAACATGGAGAAGTAATTCAAGTTCAGCAGTCAGGCGTCCACCCGGAGAGCACGGGAATACATTTCAAGTTCAGCAGTCAGGCGCCCACCTGGAGAGCACAGGAATACATTTCAGGTTCAACAATCAGGCGCCCACCTGGAGAGCACGGGAATACATTCAAGTTCAAAAATCAGGCGCCCACCTGGAGAGCAAGGGAATACAATTCAAGTTTCAGCAATCAGGCGCCCACCTGGAGAGCAAGGGAGTACAATTCAAGTTTCAGCTTTCAAGTTTCTTATTGATATTTGGTAACATGATTCAGTTTACACTCACATATGTGCCCAGCTACCAAACTGGGAGCAAAAATTTTTCTTTGTTTTTGTCTATTTTGTTGAAATCAGGCGCCCACCTGGAGAGCACGGGAATACATTTCAAGTTCAGCAGTCAGGCGCCCACCTGGAGAACACGGGAATACATTTCAAGTTTAGTAATGAGGAGCCCTCTTGGAGGGCATGGGAATACATTCAAGTTTAGCAATCAGGAACCCGCCTGGAGAGCATGGGAATACATTTCGAGTTCAGCAATCAGGAGCCCGCCTAGAAAGCATGGGAATACATTCAAGTTTAGCAATCAGGAGCCCACTTGGAGAGCATGGAAATACATTTCGAGTTCAGCAATCAGGAGCCCGCCTGGAAAGCATGGGAATACATTCAAGATTAGCAATCAGGAGCCCGCCTGGAGAGCATGAGAATACATTCAAGTTTAGCAATCAGGAGCCCGCCTGGCGAGCATGGGAATTCATTTCGAGTTCAGCAATTAAGAGCCCGCCTGGAAAGCATGGGAATACATTCAAGTTTAGCAATCAGGAGCCCGCCTGGAGAGCATGGGAATACATTCAAGTTTAGCAATCAGGAGCCCGCCTGAAGAGCATAGGAATACATTCAAGTATAGCAATCAGGAGCCCGCCTGGAAAGCATGGGAATACATTCAAGTTTAGCAATCAGGAGCCCGCCTGGAGAGCATGGGAATACATTCAAGTTTAGTAATCAGGAGACCGCCTGGAGAGCACGGGAATACATTCTAGTTTATCAATCAGGAGCCCGCCTGGAGAGTTTGGGAACACATTTCGAGTTCAGCAATCAGGAGCCCTCCTGGAAAGCATGGGAATACATTCAAGTTTAGCAATCAGGAGCCCGCCTGGAGAGCATGGGAATACATTTCGAATTCAGCAATCAGGAGCCGGCCTGGAAAGCATGGGAATACATTCAAGTGCAGCAGTCAGGAGCCCGCCTGGAGAGCAAGGGAATACAATTCAAGTTCAGCAGTCAGGTGTCCACCTGGAGAAAGGGGCAACATCTCAAAATACAGTTCAGCAGTCAGGCGTCCACCTGGAGAAAAGGAAAGCATCTCAGAATGTAGTTCAAGTTTTTGGCAATCGATTATCCACCTGAAGTAAGGGAAAACATCTCAGATTAAAATTCA